CCCTGCTGCTGGGAAACCCACCTCCAGCAGATGTTTTAGCAGCTGCTTTTCAATCTGGCAACCATATATAGCAGCAAATGCATTAGGTTTTAAGTGGGTTTTGCTCATGGGCAATGCAGCTGCAATGGCAAAGAGGTTACATCGACTGGGTAAGGCACACAAAGAAGAATGCTACGTTGGAAATGGCTCAAAAGGGTGGGCAAGCGCAGGAATCCAAAGCCCACAGAGCAGGAGGAAGTTGGGACTTGGCCAAAGCATGACAACACTATCTGTGATCTCATTGAGTACATGGGATAATAACAAGATCTCACAATGTCATAGTAGGTAGTCACAAAGATGTGTAATGCAATGCTTAGATCAAAGGATGAGGTCTCTCTAGAGCAAGCAGCTGTGAACACAGCCAACAACTGAACACTGAAGGTGGCCTGCTTCGAGCAGAGGGTTGGACTAGATGACTTCCAGAGATTCCAGCTTGAAACTCCCAAACCAGACTGATGCTGCTAGTATTTTGACTTTGGCTTCTCTTTTTTTTAATGCTGGCTTATTGCTCTGGTGCTAGAAAAGTATTTGCAGCTTTCCTGTGTATTCAATCCCATTTTTGTGGCCAGTTTACAGCCATTTGTTTTCATGCCAAGATTATCCTTTTACTTGAATAATCCTTCCTTCTTCTCTGGTACTTTAAGTACATCAAGATAATCACATAATTGTAATACACAAGTAATTCACTCTCTCTTCATAATCAGAGAATCCCAGACTGGTTTGGGTTGAAGGGACCTTAAAGCTCATTCAGTTCCAGCCCCCTGCCACAGGCAGGGACACCTTCCACTAGAGCAGGTTTCCCCCCCGTTCCAATCTGAATTCCTCTCTCTTGTATGACAGCACACAGAGCTGCTCTTGGACCAGCTTTTCTCCGTGCTTTTTCCCAGCTTCACAATGGCTCATCACTATCCTTTATCAGCTATTAAATCCCAGCTTCTTTTCCTCACTCATTTCCAAGATGCAGGAAAACTCTCAGCATCCTTCACAGTTTTCTCCTTCTGGCTAAAATCACAGCCTTGCACTTTCTACTGCTGCATCTCATCTCATCTCTTATTTCTCACTCTTCAAAGGCATCGATCCTCTAAGATATTCCACTTTTGTTCAGCACCACATTTAATTATCACACACGCTTTTTGTGCCAAGGTCATTAGAAAAAGGCTTTAAGTGAGATTACTCGTGGGACCAGAACTGGAGAAACTTGGTATTAATTCCCCACTGCACCAGCCCTGATGTCAAAACACTCCATTGTCACCTCACCAGCTGGGATTTTTTTTTGCCTGTCTTCCAGTTTGCACATACCATTCTCAGCTGAAGTCCTGCTGAATGAGATGGACAGCACTTCCCTTGTGTAGAAGCTTGGTTTAGGTGAGTCCAAAAGGTGTCAGACAGCTTGTGAAAGTGAGCAGGAGCTCCCAGCAGATGGAAGGATGACAGCCACGCTGGTCACACATGTTCCTTCCATCTCCAAGTGCCCAGGGTGTCTGGATCGCACTGAAGATTTTTGCCTCTCCTTTTTCAAATTGAAAATAGAGTGATTTATTCTTAACAGTTCATTGCTTGACGCACCTATCAAACCTCATCAAGGAATGGTTTGGGTTGAAGGGTCCTTAAAGGTCATCCAGTTCCAACCCCCTGCCACAGGCAGGGACACCTTCCACTGGAGCAGCTTGCTCCAAGCCCCTGGGTCCAACCTGGCCTTGAACACTGCCAGGGATGGGGCATCCCTGTGCCAGCGCCTCAGCACCCTCACAGGGAAGAGCTTCTGCCTTAGATCTAACCTGAATTTTCCCTATTTCAGTTTTAACCCATCACCCCTTGTCCTATCACTCCAGTCCCTATGAAAAGTCCCTCTCCAGCATCGTTGTAGCCCCCCTTCAGACACTGGAAGCTGCTGTGAGATCTCCACACAGCTTCTCTTCTCCAAGCTGAGCAGCCCCAATGTTCTCAGCCTGGCTCCATACAGGAGCTCCTCCAGCCCCTGCTTGTCCTTGTGGCCTCCTCTAGCCTTGCTGCAACAGCTTCATGTCCTTCTTATACTGAGGACCCCAGAAGTGCACACAGAGCCGCAAGTGGGGTCTCACGTGGGCAGAGTGGAGATGTCTCGATGTCTAAATCAGCTTTTTTTAGATGCCAGTTTGTGGTTCTATTGCCATTTCACACACATTATCACAACACTATCTCATTAAGCCTTTTGGGGACCAGTGTAGACTCTTCTTGCCTTTTATTCCCCTGACAAGTGGATACACCTTTCCTGAACTGGAATTAAAGTATCTACCAAAAGAGATGCCCCTATTTGGTGTAAGTTGAGGAAAACAGGAAAGAGCAATTCAAGCAGGCCTTTATTGTCTACTTGATGCTGCTCATTTTGTGCATCAAAGTGATGTGAATCAGGTTTTACCCAGAACGTTCCAGCACAAACTGATAACCCTGTGGGTTTCCACCCCCGTTGCCCACATCCTTTCACAGCTGCAGCTTTGCAGAAGAGAAGCTTCATTCCTGTTAACAGCAACTCTTCAGCTTGAAGCTCTTCAGATTGTTTGAGGCCATTTAACATCAAATCAAGGGTAAAGCCATTCCCTCACCTCTCCAGGAACTCCTGCATTTCTACAGTCAGCCCATTTAGTTTAAGGGAACTTTTACAGAGGCCCATCACGCAGCATGGAAAGGACATGTAATCCCTGTTAGGGATTTAAAGGGCATTGCACAGAGAGCCAGACTTGTTCAAAGTTCCAGACTTCCTGTGTAATAGGATTTAACTCCTAGCATCTTTCCCCAGTCTCTTTATCACCTTATTTTCTCTTTGGGGAGTGTTTCCATGTCTGCAGTGTACCTGTGTGACTCAGGAGCCTCTCCTTGCTGTCAGATGTACTAGTTCTTCTTTCCTTCCCGTGGCCCTTTTTGTTTAGGTAGACACATCCTTCCTGGGGAGCTGAGCAGTCTCCATGCTGTGCCTTGTCCCATACCAAGACTTCCTTATTCTACATCTCAGGCTCCACAGGCAGAGACACTGAGCAGAAGCACTGAAAAGAACTAATAAATTGAAGGAGAGGAGGAGGAGAAACCTGTAAATCTTCAAAGGATGATGAAAGGGTTCTGCACTCTTTGCTGCAGACCTGAGGGAAGAGCAATCTCAGCCATTTCAGGCAGTTCTGATGCTGCTGATGCTTTCTTGTTGTGCTCGCAGCTTTGAAAGCAAAGTGAATGGAAACCCAACATCATCATCCAACTGCAGGGCAGGGTGGCAAGCCAAACCTTACCTCACCTCCAGCAGCATCCATCAACCACGGGAAGCTCCTTAGAGCCTGCCTGGAGCACCTTTGCCCAGCCTCTGTAGAGCTGCTGTAGTACCTGTGCTGTTCCTGTCCTGTTCCACTGCTCCTGTCCTGTTCCACTGCTCCTGTCCTGTTCCACTGCTCCTGTCCTGTTCCACTGCTCCTGTCCTGTTCCACTGCTCCTGTCCTGTTCCACTGCTCCTGTCCTGCTGCTGAGAGTGCTCCAGCAGAGGGGGCTCAGAAACTGGTTAAGAACCAGGAGCCGTTCTGTTGGAATGGGCAAACCTAAAGAGAAGGAAGAGGAGGAAGGATGTTAGAGATGTTACATGCTTTTAGATCATTCCTTCCTTCTGAGTTGGCAGCCTGGACTGTTTATAGAGCAGCACTAAGTAAAAGGCACACAATTAAATGCTTGTTACAGTCACAGACCCCCAGACACCTCAGATACCACTGTTTCTCTGCCTCTATGCAGAGTATATTCTGTTCCCATAGAGGTTTTCTTTCATTTCCACTGTTTTCAAGGCACTTACTGATCAGTGACCATGCGCTTTTCACTTACAGCTGCCATTAGAGCAAGTCAGCCAGAGATCAGCTGCTCCTCAATACTTTTTCCTCATCTCCTTTTCTACCCATACTCCTCTCCAGGCTTTTATGGCACTTGTCGTCGTCCCCCCCCGCCAATAGATGAGACGAGCAACAGACTGTCTACCAGCTCCTTTTTGCAGCTCCAAAGTTGCCTTCTTTCACTGGAGTGGAAGCTGAGAAAGCTCCTTCAGAGAGATCCAAAGCACAGATCCAGGGAAAACAAACTATCCAGGAGGATGCAGTATCTAGGAGGATGTAAATACATCTCTATGGTAAAAGACAAACAATACTTAGAAGGAAAGCATCTTTTCCAAATAAGGACCACGAGAACAAAGTCCATATATAGATTAAAAACCACCATAGCATCCTCACAGGCAACTCTTTCCACTGTGGTCATGAAGCTTAAGCAGCTTTGATTTCAAAGCTTGTACACAAAGAGTTAGAGAGGAATTCAGTGTTGCCAGACAACAGCTCAGCTGCACTGGAGTTCATCTAAATACTGACTGAAGGCATCAGTCCTGCACACCAAGGTCTAAGGGAACCCCAAATCTCCAAGTTCTGCCACTCTATTCCCCTCTAGGTCCCAGTTGTGATGACACCAGTGACTTAGCCTGTAAAGAAAACACCCTTGAAGAGAGCTTACCTGGACACAGAAGAGTCTTAGAAGCTAAATCAGCACCTAATTGCTTTGTCTTCAATTCACTCAAGAAAGCCTCAGAGACCAATTATTTGGGTTCATCTTAACAACAGGCAGGGAATTACTGTTTGCTGTTCAGGGAACAAGCACGATGCAAATCATAAGCACAAACCCCACTCCCACACAGGGACCCCACATTTGAAGTCTACATGCACTAACCATCCCATCACAGCTCTGCTGTGACTGGGCTCCTAACAACACAATTGTTGGGAGTAACTTGCAACTCGGAGGAACCACAACGATCCAGTTTGGGTGTTTAGGATGAGACATCAATACATGTCAGCAGAGACAGGATAAAGCAATGGCCCTCCCCTTGACAGCAATAAGCTTCACTCAGAAGGGAAGAAGCTTGTGTCCCTCCCTGCTCATCCCAATGGATCCCAGGATCACCACACAGTGAACTGCAGTCGATCTACAAATGTTCCATTTTTATTACAAAGTATGAAAGGCAGAAAATACTGTACCTAATACACAGGAGGCTGAAACTTAGAAAGGAGGTTAAAAAACCGGAATCGAACTACATAGGAAGCAGGAAAGAGCATAAAAGGATGCAACGTCCAAGCCATTTCAGAAAGTTGCGTTTAAATTTAAGGTTTCAACAACATGGTTCCATGATTCAGGTGTTAAAATCCATTGTAACAAAACTGGGTTTTGTATTTTCTCCATAAAAATAAAGGAATATAGGGACACTGCAGTTATCCATGTCAACAACATAGGTCTGTTGAATAGCAGGATACTAGGATTCCTCTAGGACAGCAGCAGAGTTACAAATCTCAATAGGGAACGTGGAGAAAAGGAGGACAGAAGTAGAACTACTATTGCTTTAACATAGTTTAGTGAGAACAAGATGTCAGGAATCGCCTATGGATGCTTGTACAATCATGCTACAAATATTACACCTTCAGGAAATTACCACAACGGGACGGTGAGTGGGAAGAGCAGAAGGGAAAACACACAGAAAAGTGAACATCTACTTGACTACTGGGAACAAAAATGCTTCGGTGCAACAGGTTTCAGCTACGTTGGGCACTGCGACCAACCCAAGGCTAACAAAAGAAAAGGTTCCTTTAAGCAGTAGATTGCAGAATTCATATTTACCAGGGTGTCAAAGGAAAAGAAAAGCTTCTCAGCTGGACCAGACTCACTCATTCTCTGCCTCTTGCATTTCTGCCCCTGCTCAGGTTCCACAGACTCATCCTCATCTCTATCCGAGGGGACTGGTGAGTCGCATGTCTTGCAAGCAGGAAAGCAAACTCCAAGGGATGACAGCTGGAACATGGGCTTGCAGCTGCTCATGGCCACAGCATTTTCTTCAGGAAACAGCTTATTTCTTCTCTTGGTTACATTTTCTGACCAGAAATCAACTTGATGGAAGCCACGTGGGTAACTTTGTACATTGCTTTTATGATGATGGGGATTCTAGTTTGATGCCAAGTATCAGAGGCTGCACAACAGGCCACTGGGATACTTGGCAAAGGGATCATCTGGAATGGGGCAGCAGCAAGCCAGACTCACAGGTGCCTTTGCCTCTGGAGACTGCCATGAATCACTAGTGAGTGACTGGGATTCAGCTGCATTCTATATTTACCAGGTTTTAGTGCTGGTGAAAGGTGCTGATCAGTACTGGGGATGTCTTCCCTTTAAAGAGAGGAGCCATGGGCATGCTACAGTCCTCTCAATGTCCTTGAAAACCAGACATTCCTGACTGTTCTCAGGTAAGCAGGGGGAATGCAGCTGCATCTCCAAGTAAGTGTGAGAAAGTGCTCAGTAAGTGCCACATACAACTGATTCCTTGGATTCTCTGCAAAGATCAAGAGAAGCGGGGCCATTGCTCATTCCAGAGCTGATTTTGGACACTTCCTTTTCACGTTCATTGTACCATAAGCACAGGCCTGCTCTGGAATACTGCTAGAAAGCAGGAAACATGTATCATAGAGAATGTGTTAACTGATGGGGTACTATAGCCAGGATTTGGGGTGGCAGGACCAGTAAGCAGTGGGAAGACTAAACCCTTCAGTACCTTGATGGAACTGTGCAATCTATTGAGCCAAGAGCTTACCCTTGCTGCTGTTCATCCTTTTCAGGATGGCCTGAAAGAGTTTAAATACCACTGAGAAAGAAAGGACAAGTTCCAGAGTTTAGGTTAGACTTTACAGACAGCAGCTGCAGTTTGTCTATCACAAAAATAAGTTAAGCAAAGAATCCAGCTACATCTTTACACAACCAACTTCTGCCATCCTGTTTGGATGGCAGAAGACTCAAAACACCATCAAGGTCCTCAGCAAAAGGGACTCTGTGGGTAACAACCAGCACGAGGCTGCTTGGGTTGGTTGTGGCAGTCTCAATACAGAGCTTCAGTTTCACATTAACAGCATTGTCAAGTGCTCAGTTTTGGTGTTCAGTGGAACCAAAAGAGGGTCCACAACCACCACAGCCAGTTTAGGGTTTTGGTGACCGTGGTGTTTAACGTTTCATACAACACACAGACAAATGCCTACCATAAAAGGGCTGAGGAAAAGACGACTCCCCTCCTAATCTCACCAAAAATATACTTGATAAAGTGCCATCTGCAAGAGAACAAACCAGACACACTCAGCTTTCTTCATTTACATTTAAAACAAGCACAACAGCATCTGTGAATTCTAAGCTATGGGACTCCTCCCCTCACCTAGGCTCTGGCATGCAGTGATCTGCAGGGGAGACTGATGCAGCTTTCTCATTGCAACACCAGGCAAAAATAGATCTTTTTACTATTATCCAGAACATTCAGGAGAGTACTTGCAGCTAAGTTTTGAAAGGATCATTAAGTTTGACTTATGAGAGGCAATGCCTCCCCCGTTCAGTACATTTCAAGGTTCCATAAGGAACAACCTGTATTATCCAGTCTCCTTTTGCATCATTCTTTGAAACCACTTTGTTTTCTTTCTAAATAGATTGTCAGAGCACTCAGATCCTTGCCTTTTAAATCCCTGCATGCAGTACATTTCCTAGAGATGCAACCTCCCATAGCCCATTTCATTTAGAGAATTAACAGAGCTGGCACCCTCTGCACTAATGTGCCAGCCACCTTGTTTTCACCTTACTAATGAGTTTTACACGATCAAGATCTCCTGGTTGAGGGCCAATATATAAGCAGGAATCTACATTCTGTTTAAACCAAGAGAACTTGGTTTAAAACAGAATATAACCACCAAACATTAGCTTAGGATCTGGAATTAATCGACTGGAGAAGTGATACAGAACTACATAAGTCTGTATCTTTCTGCCCCAAAATCAGTCTTGCCTATACCAACAATAGCATGTGATGTTCTGCTTTGCTAACCTCACTGATGCTCACTTTTCCCTGCATGTTACTTTGTACTCAAGGGATAGGAAGCATGTGAAAGCAGTTGCTCTGCATCCTCTGCTTGTGCAGTAAACTCCTGGACAAAACTAATGCTTATAGGGCCTTTACACTCAACATCATTGTTAAGCATGCAAAACATGACAAAAACTGTACCTTCTGAATCACAGACTACAGTGACAAGGCTCAGGGGCTTATTTTATCTTGCAAACAAACTTGAAGCAGGAGGCAGACCATGAGTTTCCTGCCTCTGTGTCAGCAGGTGCTGGCAAAAGGGCACCAAAGCCTCTCACTTCCTTCTCTATCTGGAAGTGCCATTTGCACTACAGAACATCTCACCCATGAGGATTTTCATGTCTTTTCAGTCATTAACCTTTCAAGTGACTCCTTTGAAAAGAAGCTATTTTAAGGAGCATTTCCGTGTTCTAAACCAGCCTCCAGTGATTTCAAATGTAATTTCATATGAAGAATGACAATGGATTATGCCCAAAGCAATATGTTGTGGATCCAGAAGGTACCCCAACTGGCTAAACAAACAGGATTCAGGCTTTATTTAGAACCCACTGGAGCCTACAAGATGCCTTCGCTTGTCTTTGACAAGTTTGCAACAGGTTTCCAAGTTCCACAGATAACTTTAAGCAGTTTTATGGATGGAAGAACTGACACTCATCAAGTTCATAACAGAATTGTTTTCCAACAGTAGCAAAAGCTACCTGAGCTGTTAGGCTATTAGCTCTCTTATACATGCTCCCTTATCTTAGTATAATAGATTGTATTCCTCTAGGAATAAACTGCCTTTGCCATTTAATATAGCCTATGGAGTCTTTTAGTGACTTTAAACTGTCTTTTGTCTTTTTTAAAGCACAGCTCTGCAGCTGTAAAAGCTGCATTTTTAAGGTGAGCCACAGATGTACCATCTTTTACTCATGCCATCGATACAAGATGGCTTTGAAGTATAAAGGGGACTACAGAAAGTATTAAAACTACAGGTAGTTCCCTCTTAGTAACACAGCATATTATGCCTACCGTTCATAATTAAACAGTACATGACAAGTACAGATTTGTAAATGAGTATCTAAAGCTGTGAATGCCATTAAGTGCCTCTATTAAGGAAATCTTCCTCTTCACTTCGTTCTGCACAAGTATTTGCCAGCTTAAGATGAAGTGTTATTGTAATAAGTGGTACCCTATCATTCAGCTAACACTGGTCTGACATTTAGATCAGATCTATGGGACTCATAGCACTGCTGCTAGTAAGAAAAAACTGACCTTCAAGTCAAATCAAGCTTTCTATCAAGTATCCCACAACCAAACACAGAATGGCATTGACAAAACATGAGCCTGAACTGTGTGAGAGTCTCTTGGTTCTCTGATAGTAAAAAGAGTGACAGAATAAAGCTGTCCCTACTGAAATCCTATCAAATTCAAAGCCAGGCAGTGCTTTCCTGAGCTCCACATTGAGAAGCAGCCTGTAGAAGAGTATTGCTGTATGTCCAGAGTGATGAAACTCCTCTGATTCTGTTCTCTGTTTGACAGTACTTTCAGTGTCAGCTTCACTGTTTCACTGCAATCACATTCCCAACTTGCCTTTCCTGCACAAACTGCCAAGAGCCACATTTGCCAGTGTCCTGCTGCCTCCAATTGCACGTGAATACTCACTAGGTGGAAAGAACTTTGATCAGTTCTGACATTTACATCAAGACTCAGCTGGAATAACCTCCCAGACCAGCTATGCCTGGCATGTCTTCACTGGGACAGTACTGCAGAGCATCCATCTGAGTAGCCACATTACATTAAGACTTCAGCGATGACTTTTATCTTGCCTAACCCCCTCAGCTTTGATTGAAAAGTGTTATTGTAGAGTGATTCACTCTTCAAAACTGAAACAGAAGCCCTTGGGCACATCCCCCAAAGCTATGAGGGTGACAAGTGCCAAACCTTAGCCTCAGTGGTGCTTTCTTTCCTTCGACATCTATCTTTGTGCATTGCATTAGGGAATAATTTCTTTCAGAGAAACAGCTTTTATCTCGAGAGCAGACCAGCTCTTCTGACTCATCTCCCTCATTCAACAAGACTTGACAGTACAGAACAAATACACTTTGGAAAGGAAGATTGCTTTGCAGTCCTCTCAAGAACTCCCAGGAATACAGCCCAAGGTACAAGCTAAGCCCAAAATCTTGCTCAGATCATTTGCCAATCAAGCAAGCTACAAAGTGTGAAACCATTTTATTTTGGTTTAGATAGGAAGTCTTCCGAAGGGAAATCATTTGATTGGAAGTCTCAATCCCAAGTCCATTACAAATCACATTTTGCCAGGAGCAGTTTACCTCCTGGGAGCTTAAATCATGCACGTATCTTCTTCCTGAAACCTATAACCATTCTGTCAGCTACCACAAGTGCAGGATACACACAAATCCAGTTATAAGTTAAAAATAAGGCCTACCATAGTAACAACTGCCTCTAGCATCAGAGAAGTGTAAAGAAGTTGTGCAACAAGTACTTGTACTTCACAGCACCAGGAAATTCTGCCCAGCTCACCAGGTATAAGAGCCAAGGCAACAGTTAATTCTGGCAGGCCTTTACTGCCAGGGAGCCTGCAGTGTTGTGTCAAGGAACAGATCCTGCTTTGGGCATATGGAAATGGATCACATATCAAAAGTAAGAATTAGGGAGGAAAAAAAAAACCACCTTACTCAATAGAAAGTTATAGCCCAATATATAAAAAACATACAAATGTTTCAACAGTTTAGAGGCAGCAACAACAGGAATGCTACAGATTCCTGCCAAGGTGGCTGTTAACATCAGTGTCTTCCCCTCCACACACCTTGTTTTGCACCTGCATCTATTAAACTAGTTGATGTGCTACCTCAGCTGGCTGACACACACATGGACATATGCTGCAACTTAAAAGCCTGCAAGCTTCTTAATACAGTCAAACAAATATACAGAACTTTAACTGAGGGGGAAAAAGAAGGAAACCAGAACCCAGAAGGTCCAAGAGGCTCAGCACGTCTCTGCATTTTAGAGTCTTGGAGAGACAGGAGAAACCTGCCATTGATTCTTGTAACAGTTCCTTGTAACAGTAGATGCAAAGCAACACAGATACTGGCCACTTGACTTGCGTTGTTCTTACTTTAGAGGGGAGGGGTAGTTATACAGCCCTGCCTCACTGTGGCATGAAGCAGTAATGTTACACCCTCAAGATCTCCAGGCAGTTGTTGTAGCAGATAGCTATCCAGTCTGGCTGAGTTGATGCCCACTGTACATTGTTGATTTCTCCCTCTGCTGTATAGGCCAAGATAGGGTCCTCAATGGCACGAGGCATTTGCTGGATATCCCAGATGAGAGCCTGATGGTCATCCGCTGCAAATGGAAGAGAAAATTGGAAATGCAACCAAAGATCTCCATACATGGCTACTGACAGGCACGTAGTCCAGGAAGTTAAGACAGGATAGAGCTTTTGTAGTCTGGAGATACAACTACGGTCCAACACAATCAACTTGGATCATTATACATTACCCAGGACAGAGTTGAAAACCAAGCGATCAGTGGAACTCCTTTCAACTGAAAACATTAAAGAACTAGACTGCAAAAAGCTAAGGAACATTAAGATACTCTAGCTTAGCTAAAGCAGATGCCCAGTTTGGGCACTGGGCTTTGCTACCACACAATCAGCTGCTAAGTGCTCACCTCATAGCACTGAAAGACACTCAGGGATTCACCAATGCAGCTGGGTAGGGATCACACTTACCAGCTGTGCAAATGTGGCAGGATGAATGAGGTGCCCAAGCAATTCCATTTACACATGCTCTGTGGTTGTTTAACCTGGCAACAGGAGTGCAGGGAACTCTGACATCCAGAATCACAACCTTCAGAAACAAAACCCAACCAAATTAGGAACCTGCATTTGTTTCTTCAGAAAACCAAATATTTTGAGCTAAGGCTATAAACACATCCTTTCCTAAAGGATGTGGTTGGGAAGCAAACACTGCTCTCAAAGAATCACTTCACCGTGGTCAATGTGCCAGATGTCTCAAAAGGAGTCAGACCTCAGAGAGAGACTGCAGGATACACAAGGGCAAAGTCACTGTGCCTCCCTGAAGCAGCACACCTGACAAATGAAGATACCCTGCCCTGTATGTTGAACTCAGAACAAGGTGACTGAAACACCTGCAGGCAAGATTCTGTGTGGAAGTTATTGCTCAACTGGCTCACAGACCCCTCTTAAACATCAGCTTAAAATACATGGGCCAGAGAGATCTTCAAGTTTACAATGCCAAAGTTAATTCTCAAATTAAAGTTAGTGCATGAAGAACTGGTGCATAATCATACTCCAGCTCAGGTACTGACACTGCCCTCTAAAGAGCTGACAACTAAGCAGCACCAAGAAACCACAGCACCCAAAGAGGATGAGCTGCCACCTTACCTCCATACCATCCATGGCCATTGTAGCAAGATAGTTGGGATCCTGCTTATTCCAGCAGAGACGCAGCAGTGGATGGTGCTGTGGGTCCTCATAAATGATGGTGCTGTGCTCCAGATGACGGAGATCAAACATCCTCACCGAGCCATCTGCACCGACTGAAGCAAACATGTCTCTGCCGCCGCCTGCCCGGCTGAAGGCAATGTCATAGACCTGTTTGGTGACAGGGCAGAAAGAAAACCTCGGCTTTAGTGAGCACACTGCCTTCTTCTTCACACCAAAAAGGATGTTATCTATGGACAGCAGGCCTAGCTGGGACATAATAGGTAAAGTACTTGATGTTCCTAGCAAGTTTTAGTGATTTCACTTGCCAAAAGGAGGACGAAGGATAGGCTGGATGGGCCTTGGAGGAACCCGTGCTAGTGGAACCCTGCCCCACGGCAGGGCGTTGGAACTGGATGAGCTTTAAGGTCCCTTCCAACCCAGTCTGGGATTCTATGATTCAGGGGCATAGCATAATAAAACAAGCATTTAAGTCCAGATCCTGCAATGAGTAACTAGAGTAGTTTCGATAGCCAATAGTAGAGTTTTAATGAGTTTGGTAGTACTCAAAACTGTGTAACTTAATCCTAGATAAATTACCTTTTTGGATCATTAGATCTTTCAAGAAAAAGGGGGAAAACAGAAAAGTTCTGCTCCTTTTCTACCACTTCAAAAGTATGTAATATAAATCATCAGAAAAAGCCCTGTCACCTCTTTGTCATGTGCAATAAGCTGGGTTTTCACATGGCCGGAGACCAGATTTACTCTTCCCAGAACCTGTCCTGTCTCCAGACCCCAAATAGTGCAGGTTGTGTCAATACTAGATGTACCTGAAACAAAAAACACGTCATTATCAAAATTAATATGATCACAAAGTATTTAATCACTTACTGGATTAATGTAATACCCTCCACCATCTACAGATGGAAATAGCTACAAGAACAACACACGACTGAAATCAGGAATGTCAAACAGCCAAGAGCTTACCATGCATTTAAATGACCCAGACCTTTTAGCTGCAGAAATAGTCTTGCACACAGGAATAAAGTGTAAATAGCTCATGTCTACTTCCATCTATTCAGAAACCTGATGGAACTCTGAGATGAGCTTTCCCATCCTCTAAGTCTCATGTGCATGTCAAAAGCAAAATTCAATCAGTGTTGCAATACTGTGTGATTATTAATTGGTTGTTCCTGTGGGCTGAAGGTGGGGGGAGCAGTAAAGCTCTTAAGAGATGAGAGATGCAACACACAAAAAAATAAATCATGTAGTAAATAATTACTAAGACATATTATCACTGTTAATCTCTGGGCAAATCCCCCTGACATAAATGGCTGTACTCTTCTGGGAAACAAACCTCTGCTGGATCAGGCATCTAGGATTCACAATTTGTCCCATAGGCTATAATTAAACCTTAAGCATTCAGCCCCCTCCTCCAACTGAATTAAGGGCCCTTGGCTTGACTCCTGCTGCTGAAATGGCTTCACAAAAGACAAAGCTTGGTACACAGCTTTCTATCCACTCCAGAACACACTGAAAGTACATCAGTACTTAACACCACAACAGCAGCTTACGTACCCTGAAGAGTAAGCCTCCCTATCTGCAAATCAGGAACATGCCTAATCCAACTTAACCAACTTATTCTGCATTGAACAGGACACCTTTCAGTGCAGAAAGTCTCCATGAGCTGCACAATGATGCAGCTTTATGATGCAGAAGTTTGTCCAGTAGGTAGTTATCAGATTAACCATGGGACATGCAATGAAACAGCAGCCAGTCACAGCCCAGACTTCACCAGACTGAACTCAGAAGCGTGGCTTTTCCATGCCAAACACGTAGTGTTTTGTCAGTCTCACCTAGAAGATAAGGATCCACTTCATTCCAGTCAAATGATGTGAGTGGAGCACAGAAATCAGAGTTCTTGTTGTTGTTCAGCAAACACTCCAGCCGGGTCTCTGTTTCACCCACCTTGAGAGAAAGTGAAACATCCAATTTAAACATCCACATCACACAACCTGTTCCACTTGGACCTCCCAAAACATAAGGTGTTAATCCTAAAGCTCTGGAAAACACAATCACCATCTCTATCTTCACTAAAGCAACTACCACGATAACTCCACTTCTCCTATAATCTTCATATTTAGCACATTTATTGCAATTAAGGAAACAAATCATCAAGTGCTCGGACTTGATTTTATGCCTTAATACTGTAGCAAGGGCAAGACACCCTGGAAGGAAAGTAACTCACTTCAAGAAATCTGCTCTCAAGTGGAAATGAGATCAAGACCCAACAAATACCATGGTTCATCTTCTCCTAGGGAGGATTTACTCACTCTCCACACTCGCAGATAGTCACCACTAGTTGCCAGCAGGTCTGGATATACTCCCTTGGTGTCTGGGATCCACATAAGCTTGGTGGTAGGGTAGGGGTGGTCAAAGGTGTTCCTGCAAATGAATTCTGAGCTCTCTTCATCCAAACCCACAAGCTGCACCTGTAAGAAGCCATATTCAAAGAAAGCATTTTATCAAAGCTCTCATTTATAACTACAGCATTATAGAGTCTTAGGGTTGGAAAGGACCTTAAGATCATCCAGTTCCAACCCCCCTGCCATGGGCAGGGACACCTCCCACTAAACCATGGCACCCAAGGCCTCGTCCAACCTGGTCCTGAACACTGCCAGGGATGGAGCATTCACAACCTCCCTGGGCAACCCATTCCAGTGCCTCACCACCCTCACAGGAAAGAATTTCCTCCTTAGATCCAATCTAAACTTCCCCTGTTTCAGTTTTGACCCGTTACCCCTTGTCCTGTCACTGCAGTCCCTAACGAACAGTCCCTCCCCAGCATCCCTATAGGCCCCCTTCAGACACTGGAAGCTGCTCTGAGGTCTCCACGCAGCTTCTCTTCTCCAGGCTGAACAGCCCCAACTTCCCCAGCCTGTCTTCATACAGGAGGTGCTCCAGTCCCCTGATCATCCTCGTGGCCTCCTCTGGACTTGTTCCAACAGTTCCATGTCCTTTTTATGTTGAGGACACCAGAACTGCACACAATGCTCCAAGTGAGGTCTCATGAGAGCAGAGCAGAGGGGCAGGATCACCTCCTTGGACCTGCTGGTCACGCTCCTTTTGATGCGGCCCAGGATCCGGTTGCTTTCTGGGCTGTAAGCACACACTGAAGCCGGCTCATGTTCAGTTTCTCATCAACCAACACTCCCAAGTCTTTCTCTGCAGGGCTGCTCTGAATCTCTTCTCTGCCCAACCTGTAGCTGAGTATGTATTTCAGAAAGACACCTTCTGTAACCTCAAGGACAATATAAAAGTCCCATCATGCCAATGGAATGAGAAATCATTAAAGCTTTGCTTCCAAGCTGGGGCATGTTAAGCCAAGTGAAGTCCACATCATCCACACAGTGCTTAACTTTGAAGAGATGATCTCATATGAAGCAAAATCCAATCCTAAAGGATTAAAGACCACCCTTCTCTTTTCCACATTGCAAAGCCTAGTTCAAATCACAGGCTTAAACTGCACAAACATTATTGCAACTCATCTTTAACTGAGCTGATGCTGGCAATGTCATTTTCAGAGAGCAGGAGGAGCTGCAGTTTGCACGACAACCACCCACAATTAAAGCCCATATCATGGAATTCTTGGCCATAACCCTGCAGATTGTGACAGATCCTGTCAGCTAATTAATCAAGCTGTTTTCAGCATCCCATTACCTAAAATGTTCTGTCACAACTGCATGAAATTAAGATACAGATTAATCACATCAGTGAATCAGAAAGCAAAACAGAATTCAGACCTAAAAACAGAACTGGAAAGCTCAAAGATTTCCATCATTATCCCAATGTTTTGTGTGAAAAGGCCAAGAGAGCAGATCTACTGAAGGATTCTTGGTGACCGAATTCCAAGTTAGGTTTCTCGCACAGTAATGGGACAGGGGAAAGGCTAAATCACACCAGAGTAATGCAAGACAGAATAAACAAGAAACTATCTCCACATAGCTTGGTCATGACAACACCTGAAGTAATGCTTGAAGTCCTAGACATGATGTTATTAGAAAAATATTGACATGTCAAAGTGTTCAGAGAACAATATAGTGCTGGGAGGATGTGTTTAACCTAGCAGTGACCACAGGATGAAAGCCCCACTGTGTTCAATGCTGCTCAAACACAAACATCGTGGGGACAGCTCACTACAATGTGTTTGTAAGCTGCTCATGGTAGGAACTTCCTAATACTTTCCACACAGCAGCTTCCTCCTGGGAAGAGTGGCTTAATGGATTTTGTCTAAGATGTTTATCTGGAAAAATCCTGAATATTGTGGGATAACCAATTTGGTTAATAAACTACACATTTAAACTCGATCTGCCCTATTGTTTTCTACATAATAGCAAACCAACAAATGCTTCAGTGGATCTTAAACTATATAACATTAGCAGTTAGGAGCCCATTTAGACATGCTCCTAACAAATGCAAACCTTGCCCCTGTCACAAGTCCTTTCCACCCCATAACAAGCCCTAAAAGACCCTATGGGATGCTTCTAGAAACTGTGTTATTTGTCTGCCTCACATTCTATTACAGCTACTCCTTATTGCACTTTACACTCTGGCATGAATCAGTTAAGAATCTCCTAGTGTCCTGCAGTGACTGACACAGAGCTTTCAAACTCCTTTAGGGATCACAACTACTAAGCCGATTTTACAAAGGAAGCAAATTGTCCTTGGAGATAGAAAATCACATGGCAAGGGCAGGATCAGAAGACAAACGACCTCTAAGCATTTCGTTTGCTTTGCTTCTGCTGGTTGCAGCTCAGTACAAGCAATCAACATACTCAGAACCAGAAGCCAGTCTCGAACAGCAAAGGATCCACTTCCATTGCTGTGAATGCTCATCTTCCTGCACTGCACCTCCACGTTTAACCCCTCAACTCTGTGACAACCCAGTATCTTTGTGATCTGGGATGTTTGCAGATGTAGGCCGGTTTGGAGAACCAAACTTGCACTAACACCACTGGGCAAGAGCTGCAGATCAGGTGTCTGACACTGGCAGCAGCCTGTGACAGCTCCGAGCAGGAGGCACTGGCCTGCCCAGAGACAGGAGCAGGAGCAGAAAATACTGCTTGAGAAGCTCTATTCTTTCTTAACTCAGCATATTCAAAGGTATGACTCCTCTCTTTGGACTTGATCACATACAGCAGTTACAGAATCCCTCTATTTATTCTCTTGTGCAGGTTGAGCATGAGGAGACGGAATTAGTTTCAGGATGCTTAATTATATTAGAGCCCTGCCACTCTCTCCTGCAAGCGAGGCAAGATGTGCTGCTGCATGAAGTCCAGCCCAGGTAAGAGTGAGGGGATACTAACAGCAAAGTAACCGTCAGTCTGGATATGATTTGAACCATTCTGCACCTACCTGCAACTCATTCCAGTGGCAAAATGAGGACCACTATGTTCCATCTCCATTAGTTTTGCAATTACACTGCGACAGTAGCCAGAAATCCTAAATATTTAATGTTTCTCCAATACATTAAGATATGCTAAAAATGGACCTGGGTTGTCATTAGGTTTAATTGCAAGTGTGCAACTGAGTAAAGAAATCATTTCATCAGCATTCCTTAACTTCTAAAAGGATGACATCTCTCTTCAACATGATCCAAAAGAACTGGACACAGAATTACACAATGCACAGTATAACAGCTTGCTGCTTTTTCTTGTGTGCTTTGAGGAACAGTGAAGCGAGTTCAAATTACTTTATTTAACTATATCACTTTAATCTAATTAGTAACTACATTCTTTTAGGGTCAGGTACAATCAGAAAGATCTCACTGCACCAATTCATCTTCAACATGCAATCAAGTTTTCTTTGCATGACAGAAAACAATGACCCTCTGGTAAACCAACCACCCTGAACCCTCTTGATTTGAGGCACTGCTCAGGAAAAGGTGGGAAGCACACGGTCACAACAGTGCTTCGGTGCGGGAGGAGCAGTGTACAGCACCATCCTCTACTGCTTTCTAAACTGGACTCCGGTTTTGCCTTGCAGATAGATCCCCAAACCAGCCTTTCCTGATGTTTTCCATGAACCCATGAAGCCACAGTCAGGAGTCTGTGGAACAGCATTACCAGGGACATTTATGAACAGCTCTGCTCCCTCCCATTACAGTGACCCTCGAGCTGTTCTGAAGGCTGACAGCAGTTTCCTAATCCCAGAAATTCAGGAAACATTACCTGAAATAATTTTAGTTCTTCCAAGCAGAGCAAGTCATCTCTCTTGTACCAGTGATTTATCAGCAAAGGTGTACGAGCTGAAACAAAACTCCTTTGGGGTTCAAGCAGTTCCTGGCAACCAGCTTTTGGTATGCTAAGAGCCTGTTAGTGTGGGGGCTGACAGAGCTTAGAAGTGTCTGGGAATTGGGGATAGCAGTAAATTAAGGTTTGGCAGTCAATAAATCCAAGTTCTCCATAAAAGAGAGATGTAAACAGGCATTTCACATACGTAACACAAGTATTTCAAGCTCTGGTAATTTCTACAGGAACAGAAAATCACAGCGACAAATGAGACAAGAATCTCTCCTCTTCCTTTCACTGTAATTCCCTCACAGTGAGGGCTGCTGCTGCAACACTTGGTGCATTAAAGCCTTCTTAAAAGAAGCCCTAAACTAGAAGAGTAATAAGGAAAAAGGTACAGTCACCTATATGATAGATTTTAAGCAAGCTAGAACGGCTATTCCAGACTCTTGGCTTTTTTTAACACACTAAGGATAAGGGAGAAAGCCTTTGGAACAAACCATTGCAACATGAGGAACAGAGATGCCTGGAGATTGTCAGAAACCTCAAAAGATTGTAAGTGCAAAGAGAAAGCTGAACTGAAACTGAGTTTTCATTATCCTTTTAATTAGCGCCAGCTGCACCTGTAAGTGTATTCTGATGTCAGAAGCTGGCAATATAAAACATCTCAACTGGGAAGGGCAAATCATGCAGGAGGACAAAAGTTTCACACATACCCTGTAAAAATCTTTGACTTCTACTTACCCCAGAAGTCAGGCTATAAACCCAACTGCTCCACACCCTTCGCAGCACAAGGTTATGGACCACTTAACACAGGACAACTTCCCCTTCCCTTACTTATACCACTGACAAAAGCTGGAGCTGAAAGAGTTTACACCCAGTGTACACCCAACACAACCACAGAGTACCTGTCCAGGAGTTCCCCATCTGGAGCAAAAAGTAAAGGGGACAACATCAATATTTGAAGCATTAACAACACTTGTAATTACCCTTCTGCAGTGGAAGGCTGTACCGGAGAGCACTACAAAAAGCACCAAAGAAAACCACACACACAGACAGACAAAAATCCACCCCAAAAGAAAAAACAACTCTGAAATAGCAGAGACACAGCAAACCATCTCAGCAAAGTGAAGGTTTCACCACATTTATTGGTCAAGTTTAGTTTTCAATCACACCCCATCTTTATTTCTATAGCAGCAGAATCCAGACTGGCATTCCCTCGGTCTCATTACCTTCCAGCTCTTTACACCACGTAAAACTCAAGAGCATGTGGTGCTTATGTGGACTGAAGTCACCAGAATAGTTAGTCCTGAAGTTCAGAGGGGAACATTCACAGACAGCAGTGATTTACATCATCCTACCTGCCTTCTGTCTGCAACAGCTGTGAGTGTAAAGGGCAGAAAAGAGAGGGGCTGACTCAACCTCTTTCCATGTGAAGCCTGAACTGGAAAGAAGACCTGACCACGCTGTCATTGAGAGCAACCCCAGGGAATGGGCCAAACTTAAGGAGGTAAAGGCAAACATAAACACATACCCCTAGATGAACCACTTCTACAACCTCTAAACAAGCAACCTGTTGGCAAGTTTGTTGTTTGGGCTTCTCAGAGTACACACTCCAAAACCATTTCCAAGTTGGGCTTTAAACAAATTCAGTTCTCAAGCTGCAGGACCTGCCTCTTCCCAGCAGCACTCCCAATGGAAGGGGACAACTCATCCACAGCCAACTCATCCTGCCTGAGGTACAAAGTGCTCCGCACATGGATCATGCACTGCTGCAAGCGCTGTAATGTAAGTACTGTAAGGTGTCACCTAGGCAGTTCCCTCACTCCCTCTCATTATATCCTGCACAAAGCTCAGTAATCCCCAATACCAACCTTCTGACATGATTTTTCACAACCTCCTGACAAAGCTACAATGCACATATGCTACCCACAGACAAAACTGTAGTTGCAAAACCTTTAGTTTCACACAGACTTCAGGATGCTCTATAGCTATGGCCTTTTCCTCATCCCTCTTATCTAGATGAACTCCTTACACCAGACCAGCACATTAAAATCTGGTAAAAAATGACTGCACGTGTTTGGAGAGCTGAACATGTAGTCTCTATTAGTCTCAATCTCAACATAAAGTTCTCCACTTATATCTGGCATGGAAACAATGAAGATATAATCTCATGCCTCATTACACCGTTGTTCTATGAGCAAAGCAAAGGTATTGAGTGATCAGTGAACATGGTTTAGATACTTATGAAAAGAAGTTATCACACAGAAGTCTTGACAGCAAGAAAGTATCATGAGAACAGCAGAGATTTCCAACACAGACACTTGTACATGAGCAAACTTCAGTCCTGGCCACAAACTATCCTTTACACTGACAAAAAAACAGGCACGCTCCAGCAAAGGGCCCTTCCTCAGCAGCAGCACCCATGGCTCTTCCCATCCCAGATCCTGTCTCCCATCAGCTGAGGACTCGCAGGAAGGAAACCAGTCTGAATCTAGGCCAGCATCCTGCCCTTCAAGGGAATACAGAATCAGCCAGGTTCGAAAAGCCCTTTAAGCTCACCCAGTCCAACCGTTCCCAACACTGCCAAGGCCACCACTGCCCCATGGCACTGAGGCCTCGTCTCCACGCTGTGTGAACCCTTGCAGGGCCGGTGACTGCAGCCCTGCCCTGGGCAGCCTGTTCCAATGCCTGAGCACCCTCTGGGGCAGGAATTGTTCCTCAGCTCCATCTAAACCTGCCCTGGTGCAGCTTGAGGCCGGTTCCTCTTGTCCCATCCCTTGTTCCTTGGGAGCAGAGCCCAGCCCCTCCTGGCTCCATCCTCCTCTCAGGCAGTTGTAGGCAGCGATCAGGTCCCCTCCTGAGCCTTCTCTTCTCCAGCCTGAACCCCCAGGTCCCTCAGCCCTTCCCCATCACACCTGTCCTCCAGGCCCTGCACCAGCTCCGTTGACCCCTCTCCAGCACCTCAATGTCTCTGTGGCAGTGAGGGGCCCATGGGATAAAAGTGTCGGCCTTTCCTCCCCTTCCCTTCCCTCTGCCCCAGCCCCGCTGCCAGCAGAGCCGGGCCCGCTGCCCACCTTGTTGTTATACTCCTCCACGAAGCTCCCCAGCGCCAGACGGAACCTCTTGTCCGGCCGGACGCTCCAGTTCATGGCGTACACGGTCCAAGGCGCCTCATACTTGTAGATCTCCTTCCGCTTCCCGTGCAGCGACATGGCTCGGCCGAGGGGGTCCCGGGCAGCGGCGGGGCTGAGGGGGGCAGCGGGCTGAGCCGAGGCGGGACCGGGCTCGGCGGGGAGCAATGGGCCCGGCTGACGGGAGCGGGCCGTGGGAGCGGGCAGGGGCGCGGGGAGGCCGGGCAGGGAGCGGGGGAGGCCGCAGCTCGGCGCCGCGCCCCCAGGCTCCGGACCCCGGCGGCGGCGGGAGCAGCGCGGAGGCCGTGCGGGACTCGGCCCCTCACACAACGGGAACGGAAGCCACGAGGGAAGCCCCGCCCCCTGCGCGAGGATTGGCTGCCATTTAGAGTCTCGGGCGACTATTGGCTAATTCACCCGTCCGTTTGGCCCTCTTTGGCTTTCTATTGGTGGTCTTGCCCTTCATTCCTCACCCTCTGGCTGGGGGAAACCTATCGTCGCGTTTGACTCCGCCCCGGAGGGAGGCCCCGCTACTTCTCGACATCTTATTGGCTACCAGTGGTCGCAGTGGAGTGGGGCGGGACCTTGGGGCTTTCTTGATCATCGATTGGCTGGAAGAGGTGTCAGTCATCTCAGGCCGAGGCAAGCGTGAGGCGAGGTCTCGAGTTCGAATCCCGCCTCCGCTGAGTCGGGCACGGGTTTGGCTGTAATTAACCGAAGCTTAATTACGGGGTGTCATTTGGCTGCAGCCCCCCAGGCCCTGTCCTTGACCCCGAGTCCCACGCTCCCTGGATGAAGCAACTGGGATTTGCCTGCAGCCTCCCCAAGGCACACCAGCGCCTGCCAGGGATGGGTCCTGGGACGCTCCCAACGGACACGGGTGAAGTCCACATTTAGGTGCCAAAAACATCTTTATTAGCAAAGTGTACGCTAAAACTCCGGAGGAAGAGATGCTCACAGTTTTACTACGCTCAAAGGGAGCTCGGTACATGAGCAGCAGCCTAGGACTGTCACAGCATCTAACCATGGGCAAGGCGGCAGTGCTAAGAGTGGGCTTCTCCTACAGGGGATGCAGCGGGACCCTGCCAGGGAAGGGGCTGGGGAAGAGGAAGCATCTATCAAACCGTTATCAAAAGGGAGAAGCTGGGATGAGGTGTCTGGGGCTTTCCGGGATTGTGCTTTTGAGTTTTGTGCTTTATATGCCCACGCCAGCGACCGGTGGGGTTGATTTGGGTTGGGGTTTGCAAGGCGCCATCAGCCTTGCTGGAGACATCGATGCCCTAGGACCTGTACTGAAGCATGCTGAAGTGGAAGGGGCTGCTGGCCTCTAGTTTCTCTTCTGGCCTCTGTCCTTATCCTGGGCTTCCCACCTGTATCTCCCCCAGTACCACGCTATGGAGATCTCCAGTGACCACCCTCTCTAATGGGGCATCTAAACCCAGTGCCTACGCAATGGTCCCTGCTCCAAGGAGCTGGCAGCAAAGTGGCCTTTGCTTTCCTCTGGTCGCTTGTGCCGTGCTCGATAGGAAGCCTTGGCAAGGAGGAGGTGGTGGGCACCGTTTGGCTGGTGGCTGCAGGAGAGAACTGCTCGGGGCTCACTAGGATGTGCGGATGAAATCGATCTACTCTATGGGAACCGCTGGCAAAGGCTGACCTTGGAAGCCGGTCGCTCTCCTCCTCCTTGCACGGTGGCAGAAGACAGCTACGAGTGATACCCCTGAGCCAATGGCATTGTCCTTTGTCTCACCCTCACAGTCAAAACCAACACCAACTGACCAAGCATACCGCTGAGGTTCCTCTTGGCTTGCTTGGCAGCCGCCACGTCTCTAACTGCCGGGAAGCACCGGGTCGGAGCGGTGTCTCTGAATATCCTGGTGCTCGGGAGATGCCTCCAAGTGCTCGGGGAGGGAAGGGAAACGAGAGCCCCGGCACAGTCCCTGTGTGTTTGGTGCCCGTTGGTGGGCAGGCTCTGGGCTCGGCAGAGGGGGGCAATGATGCTGCTGCTCAGAGCAGACCACCATGGTTCGGTCGGATGCCGCAGCCAGGTGCGTGCCGCTTGATGAGGAGTCCCTGGATTTCAAGTGGAACTTTTCTACCTCCGCGTAGCTCGGGCTCTGGGGGGAAAGGAGGAACCGGGTGGGTTATGGTAAAACCAAACGCAAGGCACGCTCCCTCCTCACCCCATCAGGCTCCAAGCCCCAAATGTTTTACTTGCATGAGCAGAGGAACCCACTCCCCTCCATGCTGATGGGGCAGACGGGTGGTGCTGGGAATGGCAGCCTGGGCCTCCAGATCATAGAATGGTTTGGGTTGGAAAGGATGTTAGGATCATCCAGCTCCAACCCCTGCCACGGGCAGGGACCCCTTCCACTGGAGCAGCTTGCTCCAAGCCCCTGTGTCCAGCCTGGCCTTGAACACAGCCAGGGATGGGGCAGCCACAGCTTCTCTGGGCACCCTGTGCCAGTGCCTCAGCACCCTCACAGGGAAGAGCTTCTTCCCTGTATCCAACCTGACCTTCCCCTGTTTCAGTCTGAACCCATCACCCCTTGTCCTATCGCTCCAGTCGCTGATGAAGAGTCCCTCCCCACCACCCTTGCAGCCCCCTTCAGACACTGGAAGCTGCTCTGAGGCCTCCACGCAGCTTCTCTTCTCCAGGCTGAGCAGCCCCAATGTTCTCAGCCTGGTTCCGTAGGGGAGGTGCTCACTCAGTGATGCACTGGGCAGAAGCATCTCCAGGTACATCTGCTCCCATTTGAAGGCCCTTGGGCTTTGCCTGGACCTGGGGCTGGGACACCAGGGGTGGCTTTACCTGCTCCGGGGTGGTCAGCTCCTGGTCCTCCGGGGGTGCGCAGGGGGTGAGCGGCTCCAGGCTCCGCGGGAGGATGCTGTACATGGCCAGGCTGTGGGAGGACGGTGAGATGGGGCTGTACGCTGGTGGCACTTGGGAGAGCTGGCGCTGCAGGAGCTGGAGGATTATACTGATATCTGATGACATCCTGGACTCCAGCCTGGGGACAGAGCAGCCAGGAGTTAGCACAGTGCATCCCATGGGAGCTACAGCGGGATGTGAGGCCCTGGGGAGCAGGCACCAATGGGAGTGTGAAGATGCTTTGCCTGGGGAGGGTTTAACAGAGATTCAAACCAGTGCTGCGGAAAGATCCATCACAGAATAGAATCACAGAATGGTTTGGGTTGGGAAGGACCTTAAGATCATCCAGTTCCAACCCCCTGCCACGGGCAGGAACACCCTGCTCTGAACCATGTCACACAAGGCTCCATCCATCCTACATCATCCCCTGGCTGATCTTTTGTGGAGCCCACCAGGATCTGGAGCAGGGACCTGAACAAAGCTAAAACTGCCCTGGGGAGGGGAAAGAGTTGCAATGGTTCGGTTTAATCTGGATCAGTGCTCCAGGCCAGCTGCCTCTGCTGACAGACGGGGGGAAGGCAGCTTGGTGCCAACTGGTTTAAACTGAGGAGCAAGGGATGGGACAAGAGGAAATGGCCTCAAGCTGCACCAGGGGAGGTTTAGGTTGGATATTTCTCATTTAGAGGGCAATGATGCACACGAGGCTCATGTGCCCAAGCAAGAGGATGCTTGCAGTTCTTTGCAGCAGCAAGAGGAGCCCTGCAAAGGGCTCAGGGGGTGGTTTCATGTCTGGTGTTGCATTGCGTTTAGAAGCAGCAGCAAAGCAGCAGATCCCCAGGGCCAGGACTTGCAGTTTGAGAAGCAGCTGCATTTGCAAGGTGCTCCCATCACCTCCCCAAGGAATGCAGTGTCCCAGCAGAGACCCATAGAGACCCCACAAAGAGCTGCAGTGACCCATAGAGATCTATGGTGATGGCTCCCTGGTTTATCTCCATCCCTACATCCCAGGGATGAGCCTACCTGCTGAGCTGAGCCTGCAGGAGCTCCAGCCTGGACTCGATCTGTCCTGGTCTGTAGTCGCTGTGCAGGGGCACATCCTGCGAGCTGTGTACCAAGGAGATGTGTTGCAATGGCTCCGGGTGGTGGTTTGGCCTTCGGTCCTCCCAGAAGGAGAACACGTTGGGGATGTCCATGGGGGTGGCTGGAAGGAGAGGACACATCGCTTCTATCAGCACTTCTATCTTGCATCTTTCAGTCTCATTGGCATGGAGGTGCTCCAGAATCCACCACCCAACATGATGGAGAGCCATCACCCTGACGTACGTGGACCTCAGGGGTAGTCTATCACCCTAGCACCTGAGGTGCTTCTGGGGACCCAAGGTGCTCATGGGCACTCCATCACACTGGCACCCAACACATCTCTGGAAGGCACATTTGGTTCCAAAGGTGTGCTAAGAGAAACTGCAGGGCAGGGGAGGGACAGAGCAGAAAATACTGGGGACAAAAAGCAGCAAAGACTCTTGGCTGCCCTCAAATCCACTCTGCCCCAAGACAAGGCCGACGAGGTCATCATGTCCAAGCATCTCCCACCACCCTCCTGCCAGCTTTGGGCTACACTGTGGTACCTGCATAGGACAGGCTGCTCTCTGCTGCCTGCTTGCCAGCCTCCGTGCTGCCGGTGCCCGTGGTGACGAGGCTGAGTGTGGGCAGAGCCAAATCCTCCTTTTTGGATGTGGGGAAGGGCTCAGCTTTCCTAGGGCTGCCGGTCTTGGCTTCATCATCACTGGTCTGGGAGCAGGGAGTGCTGCTGCTGCCCCCGTCGTCCCACTGGTCCTTACTCAGCGGGTCCTGCGGGTTGGTGAGCTCTGAGTAGGTGTGATACTGCTCTGCATCAGAGATGCCCGTGTCTGGGTCTGTGGGGCAGCACAACAGGTTAATGTGGGGAGTACCACGCATGGCAAAACCAGCCCCCATCCCCTCGAGGGTACCCATAACCTGGGGCACCCTAAGGAGAAGAAGAGAGGGATGGAAGGCAGCGCGGGTGCCCCCAGCACTGCAGGGATGGAGGCACCAAGAGCTGCCTGTGCTCCGGGGCTCCTCCAGAGCAGCAGGCACAGGATGATCCGCAGCCCTCAGGCCGAGCTCTGCTGGTGCTGCAGGACTCACCAGGCTTGTCGGGCTGGCACAGGGAGTGCTTGCGCCGGCGCGCCCGCCGGTACGTGCAGTCGTACTCCTCACTGAGCGGAGAGCGGGGAACGCTGTCTGCCTGGGGGGTCAGAGGGGCTGGTCACCAGCGGGCCATGGCCCACCCATGGGTGCCATGTCCCATTCGTGGGGGGGGTGTCCCATCCAAGGGCACCATGGCCCATCTGTGGGTGCCATGTCCCATCCGTGGGTGCCATGTCCCATCTGTGGGTACCATGTCCCATCCGTGGGTGCC